TAGTACTGATAGGAATGTCAGGGAGGAGCAATGGAGGGAGTTGGAGGATTGTAAAGATAACTGGGGAAAGAAGTGGTGTATTGGGGGTGATTGGAATGATCTGTGTAGCCCAAGTGATAAAAGAGGGGGTATACTGAGAACAGCTGGTAGCTGTGAAGGTTTTAATAGTTTTGTTGATGATATGGGGATGATGGAGATCAGTATGGAGGGGTATTCCTTTACCTGGGGTAATAACAGGCAGGGGGAGGGTTATGTGGAGGAAAAATTGGATAGGATCTTTGGATCTTTTCCTTGGATTGCAGCTAACTCGGGGGCTCGAGTGTCTACTATTTATAGAAGTTCATCTGACCATATTATGCTGTTGCTTGATTCTGGTAACCAACAGAGGAAGTTTTTTAAGAGATTTGTCTTTGATAAGCACTGGATTAAGATGGAGGGATGCTATGATGAAGTGGGAAAGGCATGGAATGAGGATGTGAGGGGCTGCCCTATGACTAGAGTGAAAGAGAAAATTAAAAAAACTAGGATGGCTATCATGAAGTGGAATAAGCTGGCAAAATCGGGGAATACTCAAAGAATTGAGGATCTCACCCTCAAATAAGAACAGATGAGAGCTATGGGAGGCCAAGTGAATTGGGATGAATGGGAGGCTGTTAAAAGGGAGTTAGAGTAATCTCAATTGAAGGAAGAGGAGTTTTAGAGCCAGAAGGCTCGGCTACAGTGGCTCAAAGAGGGTGACAGGAACACTAAGTTCTTTTATGCTATGACTCTATACAGAAGGAAGAGGAATGCCATAACCAGGCTTGTGGATAAATATGATGTGGTGGCTGAGTCTCCTGAGGAAATCGAAATGGCCATTATTGACTTTTATAAAAGCCTGTTTGAAATTGAAGGATCTTGGGGTGAAGCTGAAGTGTTACCATTAATCCCTCATTCTATCACAACAGAAATGAACTCTAATCTTATTGCCCCTATTGAGGAAGAGGAGATCAAAGCAGCTTTATTCTCTATGAATCCAAACAAGGCTCCAGATAATGATGGCATGACTCCCATTTTTTACCAACATTTTTGGCCTATTTTGAAAGAAGATCTTTGTGCTGCTATGATTAAATTTTTTGAATCTGGGAGAATGCTGACTAGCTAGAATCATACTGTTATTACTCTCATCCCAAAGTGTGATAATCCTGTGTCTCTAAACCATTTCAGGCCTATCAGCCTTTGTTGTGTCTCTATAAAATTGTGGCTAAAATCATAACTGCCAGATTGAAAGAGTGTCTTAAATTCTGTATTCATGAGACTCAAGCTGCTTTCATTCCAGACAGGCAACTTCTTGATAATGTAGTAGTGGCTCATGAGGTGATTCATTTTTTAAATAGACACATAACTGGGTCTCAGAGCTATATGGCAGTTAAGTTAGATATGATGAAGGCTTATGATAGATTGGAGTGGAACTGTGTGGTTAAGACCATGTTACAAATGGGTTTCCATAGTTCTTTTGTACAGTGGATCTTTGCTTGTATTTCATCTACAGTGTTCTTTTTTAATGTTAATGGCAAAGTCTCTGGTTTTGTGACTCCATCTAAGGGTATAAGACAAGGGGATCCTATATCCCCGTATCTTTTTATCCTTATATCTGAAGTTTTCTCAAGATTAATCAGAAATGCAGTGGATTTGGGTGAGATGCAAGGGTTGAAAATTACTAGAGGTGGAACCACATTGTCTCATTTACTCTTTTCAGATGATGCTCTCCTTTCCTGTGGTGCGGACTGTCAGAATGCTAATATGCTATTGAGAATACTTGCAGCTTATCAGAATTTTACAGGGCAGAAAGTTAACCTCTTGAAGTCATCTGTATTTTTCAGCAGAAATGCTTCTGAAAAGGTGAAAGCTGCAGTGTGTCAAGTGTTGAATGGAATTGAGGTCTGCTATTCTACCAGATATTTGGGCTTGCCCATGGGCCTGGGAAGATCAAAGAAGGAAGTGTTCCAGTTTGTGGTGGATGCAGTAAAGCATAGAGTGAGGGGCTGGAGTAATAAGTTCTTGTCTACAGCTGGTAAAGAGGTTTTGTTGAAGGCTATTATTAATGCTCTACCAATCTTTGTCTGCTCTTGTTTCTGCTTACCTATAAGTGTCTGCAAGGAGATAGCCCAGCTGAGTGCAGCATTTTGGTGGGCTGGGAGCACTGAACAGAAGAAAGGTATTCACTGGGTTGCGTGGAACAAAGTTACTGTCCCTCAAAGTGCTGGGGGGCTGGGCTTTAAAGATATTAAGGTCTTCAATGATTCCCTTATCCTTAAACAATGGTGGAGAATATTGACAAAGCCCAATTCTTTGATGACTAGAGTATTGAATGAAAGATACTTCTCTTCTGGTAGTGTTCTAGAAGCCAAGAAAAGTAGCACAACCTCTTGGCTGTGGAATTCATGGGTGACAGTGCTGAATCAGCATAAGAATGGTTTCAGAAGAGAGATCCAAGATGGTGTCAACACTAATATCTTATCACAACCTTGGGTGCTTGGCCTGAGTTCTGGTAAGCCTTCTTTGATTACTGGTGTGGATGAGTTCTCTCTGACCTGGGTTAAAGAGCTGCTTTCTGATGATGGCTGGAGCTGGAATGTAGAGCTGCTTAGAGAATGCTTCACCCTTGAATCTTGCAATGATATTCTTCAGATTAGAAATCTTAATCCAAATGAGAGGGACAGGTGAGTGTGGGAAGCTGACTCAAAAGGCAAATTCTCTGTGGCCTCTGCATATTCTGTTGCTATTATGAAGAAGGTTCTTTCTCTATCTTTACCTAGCTCTAGTGCAAATGCTCTTTGTGACAAAAAGGTTAGAAATAGGTGCTGGAATTTAAAGGTTAAAGGGAAGCTGAGACACTTTATATGGAGATGTTTTACTGATTGCCTACATGTTAGTTCAAATTTGGGAGCTAGGGGACTTCAGATTGATAGCATCTGTCAGATGTGTGGCAGTGATTCTGAGTCTATTTTTCATGCTTTATTCTCATGTCCTAGAGCTGCTTTGGTGTGGAAATTATCCCATGTTTCTTGGGACTCTTCAACTTCTTCTTTCTTAAGTTTCAAAACATGGTGGTGGAATGTTGCAGAGTTGAATAAATCTGATATTTCTGAAGCCCAGATACAATTGTCCACGTACATACTATGGTGGCTTTGTAAGTCTCGAAACTTATGGGTGTTTCAAAAGGTGAAGATGCCGGAAGCAGTGGTAGTTAGACTGGCTGTAAGGGAATGGTCCGAGTTTAATTCGGTGTAGCTTTTTGTGTTTGGTTTGTATTCTTCTTTTTCCGTTTCTAGTTTGTGTTGAGGCAAGGTCTCCTGGGTTCAGTGGCCTCTTTCTTTGGGTTTTTTGTGGTTTCTTGTGAGTTTTATTGTTTTTTGTTTTGTTAGTTTGTTGTGGTATGTGGTTTGGTGTCTTATGTCTAGAGGATCCAAATCTGTGCATTTGCCTCTAGTTTCAGTTAGCTTCGGTTTAGTTCTTTGTGGTGTTTGGAGCTAGTGGGCTCTACGATGTGTAAAACTCTTTTTATTGCTCTGAGTATTTATTATCGTTCGAAAAAAAATATATAAATAACATTATCCTTTAATACAAATATAATTAATATTTGTGAGTTAAAATGATAAAGAATATAGTCTAATTGATCTAAAATTTTTAATTATCTAACTTGTTGGACGTAAAGATTAGTATTTACATTCCTATAAAATACCCAAAATCCTACACCATCCAATTTTTATTCCCTTTCAATAAGTTTGTAATTAAAAGCCACTCTCAACAATTAAATTAATTGAAATTAATAAATATTAATTGATTCCTATATATATAAAAAACATATTTTATCAACTTCTCTAATTCCTGTCCATAAAAAAAACGCATAGAACTTTCGGAAAATATTAAAAAAAATGAGAGAGTTATTTGATACACTACATGTTGTTAATAAGCAATTCTAATTATTGAGATGAAATTTGACGTGGAATCCAATGATTTTTTTGAGATCATCTTTCAAGATCGTGAGGTAATATTTTGATTTGTTATATCTGTATTACTAACATACGTAATTTTTTAATTTAACTTATTTTGTCTAACTTCATATTGTAGGGTGCGCAAACAACTGTCATTATACGTTCTGCGTATATGTGTGCATTTCAGGTGTATTTAAGCAAGGCGATATATATGCACTCAGGAGGTTTTAATAATGTATAATTTTTTGCCAATGACAATTTTATGTTTACTTTATAAATGTCATACGTGTTATAACAATTTATTAATAAATGACCTTTTAATTTTTTAAATTTTTCCAAAACATGTAATAGCCCGTGCATCGCACGGGTTACATATTACTTACTTAATAATAGGAGTATAAATGTTCGACATAAATTTTATTTTTAACTGAATAAGGAAAAATATTACTCCTATTATTAAGTAATTCCTATTTTTAAAGATAGGAGTATTATTTAATTATATGGATAGTATTAAAGATAGTGAGATTGAGTTAAAGTTGAGTTAAATTTTAAGTATGAAATAAATGTGATTAAATTAATTTGTAAACAATCAAGCCCTTAAGATGGTCTTTGGTATTTAGTACATTTAAATTAAAATAATATTTTATCCTAGAGTCAAAGTTTATATTTTCGTAATAGGATATATGTTGGTATGGCTCATATATTGACAAAGGAAGAGGGCAGGCTGATGCCTGCGAGCGTAACGGAGCGAGGGAAGCGGAGCGACCGAGCGAAGTGAGCGGAGTGGTACAGGGTATTTAAGTAAATTTATACCTTGTAGGGTTTTAGTATAAATACATGGTGTATTGATGTATTTGATACGATTGAGAATAATAAAAGATCCCTCAGCCGCCGTGGACGTAGGCACATTGCCGAACCACGTAAATCTTGTGTTGTTTACTTTTCTCGTTTTTTAATTCGTGTGCCATATTGTCATCTTCCCTCAACAAGTGGTACCAGAGCCTGGTTGATTGGGCGACGGAGATGACGAGAGGATCGAAATTCGAGGTCTCGAAATTTGATGGTCATGGCAATTTCGGATTATGGCAGACGAGAGTAAAAGATTTATTGGCGCAGCAAGGAATTCAGAAAGGGCTCCGTGCAGAAAAGCCAAAGGGGATGGAAGACGATGATTGGCAAGATATGCAGGAACGGGCGGCCGGGACGATTCGGTTGTGCCTTGCAGATGAAGTTATGTATCACGTTATGCATCTCAAATCGGGGGATGAGATCTGGAAGAAACTGGAATCGCAGTTTATGTCGAAAACCCTAACGACAAAACTGTATCTGAAGCAGAGGTTATACGGGCTGAAGATGCAGGAGGGGACCGATTTAGGGCAACATGTGAATATCTTCAATCAGGTTGTCACGGATTTGGCTTCACTCGAAGTCAAGATTGAAGATGAAGACAAGGCGATGATTTTACTGTGTTCGTTACCTCCTTCTTACGAACATATGGTGACTACCCTTACATATGGGAAAGAAAAGATCAAGACTGAGGAGATTACTTCAGCGTTGTTGGCTCACAACCAGCAGAAACAGAAATCTGGAGAGTCATCTTCTCAAAGTGACAGTTTATATGTGAAGGGTAACCAGGATCGTGGAAGGAAACAGGTGCGGGATAATTCAGGAAATCGGAATTTCAGATCCAAGTCGCGAGACAAATCGAAAGGTAGGAAAACTGTGACGTGTTATAAGTGCAAGGAACAAGGGCACTTTAAACGGGGTTGCCCGAAGTGGAAGAAACAGACTGCTGATATGTCATCCAAGTCTGCAAATGTGGTACAAAATGAGGAATCCGATTGCAGTGATAGAGATATGTTATCTATTTCGACTACGCAGTATGATGATGCTTGGATTCTCGATTCTGGATGTTCATATCATATAACGCCTAACAGATAGTGGTTTGCTACTTATAAACTAGGTAACTCGGGTTCTGTTTTTCTTGGTGATGATAGATGCTGCGGTATTGTCGGTATTAGAGATGTCAAAATCAGGATGTATGATGGAACTGTTAGGACATTATGTGATGTGAGACATATCCCTGAGTTGAAGAAGAATTTGATTTCTTTGGGTACTTTGCATAGAAATGGTTTCATTCCCAAGGCTGATGAGGATAGGGAAAACATTAAGATTGTAAAGGGTGCTTTGACTGTGATGAAGGGGAGGATCACTGCAGGGAACATTTACAAACTGTTGGGAAGTACAGTTGTAGGTGGAGTCCATTCGGTGGAGTCGTGTGAAGATAGCACGAAATTGTGGCACATGCGTCTTGGACACCTCAGTGAACATGGCATGACTGAACTGCATAAGAGGGGGCTTCTGCATGGTGCTAAAACTTGCAAACTAAATTTCTGCAAGTTTTGTGTTCTGGGAAAGCAGACAAAAGTCAGTTTCAAGACTGGGAAGAAGAAGACAAAAGGAATTCTGGATTATGTACATTCAGATGTGTGGGGTCCT